GAGGGGGTTATTATAGGAATTAGACACCAGGGGGCTCCTCCTCACACAGGGAAGACACTACATTGCCTTCTCTCCTTTGCAAAATTTCTTCCATGCTACAGTCTTTGTCTGGAAGACAAGAAAGTTTAGGTCCTGGGAAATATCTGAAAATATCAATATGTGGACTAATGCAATGGGGTTAGGACTGTGCCCTTGTCATTTTTACAAGCTCCCTCAATAAATGCCACCTGAGGTCAAGGTTGAGGACAGCTAGAGTCCAGACTTCCTCTGCAGAGAAATAAGTTCTCTGCCTTACTTCCTTCTCATCTGTCTTGGCCCAAGTACAATGACATCTCCACTTGGAAGACTTCCCTGTTTGCTCCATGTATATACAATTTTTCATTACTCTGAATTCTTAATTAATTTAACCTGTACTTTCCTAACAGAAAGGGAAAAAGAAAAGAACTCACTGTGCCAGGGACATGGCCAAGTTGTTTTCACATGCATTGTCTTATGTGATCTGCCTAATGATCTTCAAGATAAGCTGCACAAACTTTTGCTTAATAAGAAAGTGAGTACTAAAGGTATGAGGTATATGGCAGAACAGTCTAGAAGTATCAAATTCTGGGGAAGAGTTGTAGATAGCAGGGGGCCCCAGTCTCCATGGGTACCTGTTGAATGAAATGGCAACTCATGACTGAAAGGCATGTTTTCTCTATACTAAAATATTTTCCTGTGAGTCCTGATGTATTCGCTTGCCTTCCCTGCAATGTACACTTGGCTCTAAGAGCAATAAACATTTTGGAGGGTTCATCTTTAAAAATGGCTACTCTGTATAGGGCAGTCATTACACTGACCCCACAAAACCCTACCATGAGGCACACTTGATGTAAAGTTCCACTTTACAATAGGTAAGGACCAAATCCTGAGTACAGGCTCTCCTCTGTGGATGGAGGGTCTTTGCAAGTGCTGTGGGTAGACACAGGACACCTGCCTCTGAGTCTGAGCACCACACTATAGCTATCTCTTCAGCACACCCCTAACTGGGCCTCTGTTAGCATGTACACAAATGCCCACAGGCACGCGCGCACACACACACGGACACATTTCAGCTACCTCACATCCCTACAGGAACAAAGAAGCAAAGAAGAACTGAATGCCAAGAAGTCTTGGATGCTATTTGTATCCTAGATGAGAGCCCTGGATCTAGCATTTGCCTTGGATTGCTCCTGGAGACCTCAGCCTGCAAAAGGAATGGAATGTCTAGCAAGAGGGGAGTGGTGAATAAATGAAGGTACTAGTGACTGGATAAAAATAGCCAGCCACTAGAAGATTTTCCAGTGGCATGGAAGGCATGCAAAAAAACATATAAAACATGATACCAATTTTTAAAAATCCAATAGATGCACATGTCAATGCATAACAGCCATGGGAAGACTGTATCCCAAAATGTTAGTATCTATCTTCCTATGGTCAATAACAGGCGATTTTTTTTTTTTTTTTTTTTTTTTCCAAATACCCTTCCTCCCTTTCTTCATCTTTCTTACAGTTAACATCCATCACCATACATAGTTATATTTTTTTCTTATGTGAAGACCTCCATGATCTATTCTTTTAGCAACTTCTAAAAATATAATGCAATACTGTTAACTATAGTCATCATGCTGTCACTTTATCCCTAGGACTTATTCTATAACTGGAAGTTTCAACCTTTTGACACCATCCATTCTAAATTTCTACAGTGAAAAAGGAAAAAAAAAGAAAAAAAATGGAGAAGAAAGTGTATGATTTCTGGGCATCTTCTAAAGGGAGTAAGATGACTTTTTATTCCTTTGGGGGGTGGTCAGGGAGGGCCCAGTAAGAGGGAGAGCAGGGTCCTCATTTCCAATCATCCAAAGACAATAAAGGAGGAGCCAAGCCAATCTGTCCCTTCAAAAGGCAAGAAGAACAGGACACTGGAAAATGAGAGGCATGTCTGGGGGACACCAAAGGGAAGAGAAGAGCCCAGAGGTTTAGGTGCGAGTTTCAGAAGTGTTTCCATCTGTGCTTTTAAAATATATAGAGTAGCAACCTCTTGTGGGCTGCAGGCTTGACTCTAGGTGGCCTAGCCTGCATGTGCAGTAGTCAGAGCGCCAGCCTGGGGCGGGACTCTCCTCTAACTGTGAGCCCTAGGTGGCACTGCCATCAGGCTTCCCCTGCAGAGGAAGGTGCCTTTTACAAACCAATTATCATGGAGAAAGGCAGGGGGCCACTTCCTGACCCTCAGCTTCTCTGGATGCAGAAAGGAGGACAAAGAGAACAGTCCAGGCCAATACACTGGCTGTTCTCCACATTTTCAAAGCAAATCGTCATCGAAGACTAGTGAGGAAATCATGACTTTTTTCCCTAAGAGGCTGCAGCAGGAACAGGTATCAAGGTATCAAGGTATCAAGGGGCAGCGGATGAGGGGGAGTCATTTACAGGAACAGACATCAAGGAACAAAACCTTGTGCAGGCAAGTGGCAAGTGTGGACCATGAGAAGGCTGACAGGCCTGGTTGCAGTCACCCCAGGAGGGGCCCTCCTGAAAGTTAATGACAAGGGAGCACTGCAGGCCCACGAGTTACTGTGGACATCAGGATGTGTGAGGCTGGGTGTCACCTCAAGCTCGAGAAAGAAGGGAGACATAGCAACAGAAGCCGGCAATTTGGCGCAGTGGGGCTGGGAGGGGGCAGCCCAAAGCCTGTGGGCAGAGTTGTTTGGTGTCTGTTTGGAAAAGCACCCAAATGGGTAGTGTTGACTTGAGACACATCCGGGCCTTTTTGATTTAGCAATAACACTGGAGAATTGGCTTTGATCTGGGCATAACACTCTGGCCACAAGATTCCAAGGGATTCTTGGCCTCAGGAACACACATCCTGAGAAGTGAAAAAGATGCGTTTATACTCCCAGCCTCGGGGGGATGACACACAAATGGAATAATGTGGAAAGGTCAAACAGAACCAGGGGAGTGAACCATCTGTACCAGCAACTGTGGGGCTGTCTAGGGGAGCACAGAGTCTGCCTTTCTAGGATCATGGCCTCAAATGTTATGCACAGACCCCAAACATAGCTAATGAAAGAGTTCCTTGCAAATGCAATACATAGAAATACAGCTCAAACAAACACAGAAACAATGTGGTCATCTCAGAGAGAAACAATTCCAAAACCACACACGCAGATACACACCTCACACATACAAACACATGCTACACACTCACTTACACACATAATGCACATCCACTCACACACATGCACATACACACCTCACACAATCCACATATCTACTTACAAACTGACATACCATCTCACATACACCCACTCACACACATAACATACATCCACTCACACACATCCACACAGACATAGACACCTCACATACATACACACACACCTCACACATAAGCACATAACACCCCTCACAAACATACATATCACAGATATGCGCACACACACACACATACACACACACAGAGCTTCCATAAGCTCAGTCTCCACTGTGTACCCTTTCCAAGATTGAAAACAACACACAAAGCCTTTTTCCCCTTTATTTTTATAAATTTTTAGACAAAAACAAATCTTTCCCTGGGATGCTACTACGTGTGACTGTGGGTGTGGAGGTGGGTGGGATATGTGGGTAAATGCTGATTTTCTTTTGTTTTTGTTTTACATTCCTTGAGCTCACTGGGATGTTTGTGTGAATATATGAATAAGCACTCTAATTATCAATTTTAACTAGTTGCTATAGGCTTACTGGTTATCTATTTTTAAAACCTCATTGCATCCCTGACAGAAGGGTTAACAAACTGTGATCAAAACATCCCAAAGAGGCCTCCCTGGTGGCGCAAGGGTTAAGACACAACCTATGAAGCTGTCCACAGCTACTACAGCACGAGTTCGATTCCAGGCCAGGCAGGGAGCTTCCCACATGGCACAGCAGACCTTTCCTGACTTGCCCGCTGCTCCCCTCAGCAGTGTATTTCAGTTGATCTGCCTGTTTTGTTCCCCAACTCTGTTTCTGGTGAATCCTCTTACCCCCACACTTCTGGCCTGTACCCCAGTTCTTGTATGCATAAATAAATAAATCTTTAATAAAAAACAAAACAAAACAAAACATCTCAAACCAGTGTAAGGAATTATTTTTGACTCTCAACAACAGGCCCTTTATTTTGTTCATTCTCTTCCTTGATCCTCAGACTTTCTACTCTGTGCTCTTGCCCCTAACCAATATGTGAGAACTGGGACCACTTCTGATCAGGACTATGGTCCTGAGTTTCCCTAGAAATAAAAAGGGGCTCATAGGTGGTATCCCACACAGAGGGGAAGTATAGTGAGGCACAGTGTGGTCTTGGGTGTGACCCATATTAAAAGAACACATTTCCAAATATATGTAATTCTTACTATTAGAAAATTACTTGCTGTATCTCCCCAGAAAGGTATAGCACTGTAAAATTCCATCCTCCCCTTGCCTGTACCCTCTTATGTTTGTCTGTGCCACCTCCAAACAGCATCTAGTCAGAGATAAGTGTGGCCCTTTGCCTAATCAAGATCAACCAACCTCCATCTGACTCTCAGATTAATCCAGCTACCAGACTAAGACTTCAAGGCAGCAGTACAAAGACACAGAATGCTGAATATCTCATCCCCAAAGAGAGAAATACAGGGGGTAACTGCAGCCCCACTCTAGCCTCTACCTCCTGGGTTTAACCTTTTCTGAAGTTGAATGATCTACCACCCAACATCCCGAGCAGCTTGGCCATGTTTATTTTCCACTATAAAATATCAAGAGAGGTGGAGAGGGAAAAAGAGGTGGTTTTGCTCGTGAAGAGACAGGAAGAAGGGAGAAGGCAAGCTACCAGGTCATTGTCAAGGATGGCATTTGGAATAGAGAAGCTGGAAATCCAAGGCGGGGGTTTCTGCCCTGGTGCTAAAGTTGTTTGCTCATGACCAAACTATGGGACATTTCACTCTCCAGAACTTCATAAAAGGATCAGTGAGACTTACCTGTGGCTGAAATCCTTTGAGGTCGCTGACTGCAAGGTCACTGGCTGCGAGGAGCTGAAAAGAACAAAAGGAGTTTTCCTTAGTGATACTTCTCAAAGTTTGCATACAGTATCCCCAGGACAACTGATCAGCAATGGACTTCCCATAGCCGAGATCTGGAGCTAAAGCAGCAGAGCGGTAAAAGGCAAATGTGCAATTCTGGGCTGGGAACATGGACTCAAAGCTTTCTCCGTCTATGTCTACCATATCTCTGACGTCACCCTTTCCTACCTCCTTTCTATGTGCTACTATTTTTCAAAGGGTCCTTTTTTTTTTTAAAGATTTATTCATTTATGCATACAAGAGCTGGGGTACAGGTCAGAGATGTGGGGGGTGAGAGGATTCACCAGAGACAGAGCGGGGAACACAACAGGCAGACTGACTGAAATACACTGCTGAGGGGAGCAGCAGGCAAGACGGGAGAGATCTGTTGCGCCATGTGGGTCACCTCCCTGGCCGGGGATGGAACTTGTGCTGCAGAGACTGCAGATTGCTTCATAGGTTGCATCTTAACCCCTTGCGCCACCAGGGAGGCCCCTCAAAGGGTCTTAAATTAGGAACCACGGACCATGAATGGGCTTTAGCAAGTTCACAGACTCCCTGAAATCCAAAACTTCATTTCATGTGAGTCTATATACACATATACTTCCTTAGGGAGATGGTCCCTGGCTTTCTTCTTAGGCCAATAAGAAGTGAGTCTTTCCTCTTCTCATCTACATGTGACTCAGTTTCCATTTATCATGTGTTGCCTTTGATCTTAATATGCTATTTATTTAGGTGTTCAGAGCTCATGTCTCCAACCATCATGTACAATATGAGAGCATAAAAGTCAGGTTTATACACATTTTCTGTATGTCTGTATTCAATCAATATTAAAGTGTAAAGTTAATAAGGTTTTAAATATTTCTGCATCCTCTCCAGAAAGCACTCCATCAAATTACATGATTCATTAATAAAATAGTCACATACTTTTACTATTGCTCAAAAATGCTAGGAAAGTGTGGGATAAAGAGAAAAAAGGACAGATGCTTATTTTGATTCATGGAGTGTGACTGCTAGCTTTGTTAGGCCCGGAGAGCACTTGTGAAAAATAGGAAAGATCTCATGTTTGCTATAACAATATTTTATTTGGTTCAAGAGAGAGCAGGAGTCACGCTGGGCTCCAGTGCCTGCAGCCTTCAGAAAACCTCAACTGGGCTTTTTACCTTCTCTAAAGGACTTTGCCAAAAAAAGATCAGTAACGTAGTGTTAATGCAGGGGTAGGCAGTGGAGAGTGCAAAAGCTGTACTTTTCTCCCACACCCAGTCCTGTGAACTGGATTCACCGGTTGAAGGGTGCCCGGGTAAGGAGACACCATCCTGGTGGAGAGCCAGGAGGGTCAGTCTTATTGTAATCAAACAACTAAGCAACAACACATTGGGTCACTTGATGAGACACTGAAGGACAAACATAATGACATATCTTCAAAGGACCTGAAATTTGGTCAAAAGACAAGACACGTACAGTCAGTGTGGGTAGAGTGCAGTTGAGCATAAATGTCAAACTGTGGCATAAGAATGGTCAGGGTGGGGTTGCTGAAACCATGTGGAGTTTGAACAAACCCTGAAAATGCAAAGGTGTCAGGAGGGACTCTTCAGGTGGAGCTGTTGCAAGAACAAAGACATGGAAAAGGGATTCACCAGCCCCAGCACCACTCCCTGTGCAATCCAGGGTCGCAGCACACAGTAAGGAGGAAGGGCAGAAATTAAGATATATCGGTAATCCTTGGAGGCAGGTGGTACAGTGGCTGCTGCTTTGTAATTTTTTCTTGTTTAGTCTTCACAAACAACTACCTCATGATATAGAAAGTATCTCCACTTAATTGGAAAATTGAGACTTTTATGGAAGTAAATAATATCTTCTAGGTCATCTAGGTGTATTTGGGATTTAAATCCAAAACTATATTGTCCCAAGCTCATCCTCTTTCTGTATAACATGATCTTCTGAATTGAAGACATACTGGAAATAACTGGCATGTGGCATAGGAGAGATGAGTGACGATTACTCAAAGGAGCCCTGGGCAGTCCCATAAAATGTATATCCCCATGAGTCACCCCTGACTGACCCTTCCTTCCAGACATTTTTTTTATTGAATTGCTAATGACCATCTACTCTTCAGAACCTATCAATACAGCCCAGACCCCTAACTTGAGTTGAGCGCAGATGACAATGGAACTGGGGAGCAGTGCAGAAAGGCTGGAGTGAGTGGTGTACATGAGAGTGATCTTTCAAGGACAAGGTCAGCAACACATGTTAGCTTATAGGGATCAAGTCTCAAATTCTCCAGGCCAAGAGAGTCCTGTGGGCAGGGGCCTTTCTAACCTCTTACAATAGTGTTTGTCTGATAGATAATAGGTATGAGACCAAAATGTCTATTTCCTCTTCGTTCTGAGATGATACAACTTAAAACCAGTTGTAAAGCAATGCATCTTAACAGTTTAACATACATACACACCATTCCCTCACATCACTGGTTAGTTTGAGATTGAGAAATAATGAGGTTCACTTGGAATAGAAATAATGATATTTATGGTTATTATTTGGTTATTACACTTAGTTATTATATTATTGGTTATTATATTACATTTTTGTTGTCATGCTTAATTACATTATATTTTTGGTCTATATTTATTATATTATTTGGTTTTAGGTCAACATCTATATGTTGGTTATTGTTCTTAGGTCAACAAAGCTAGGTTCTATCCCACCATCCTTGGAAACCAAGGACCCTTCCATCCTTGTCTTAAGATGGAGCCAGATGGGGGCAATCTAGTTCTTAATTATTTAAGTTCTGTTTTGTGCTGTTGAATTTTTTTTTCCCATCTGACAAGACCATGTCCAACAGGATCCTGGTTTTGACCTTATGTAGTGAGAAAAGTCTAATCATACAATTGGTCAATAAATACCTGTTCGTCAAAATGACTTAAAAGGAAAGTGGAGAACATGGTTGATGTAGAGGAGAGCACCAGGCATTATTGAGGCTGGACAAAAGAAGCAGGAGAGACAGCTCATGGCATCTCTCAAATTGACAAGAGGAAATGGCACTTAGCATCTAGAGCATTTCCTGCATGAAGTAGACACTCAAATATTTGAATGAATTAATCAACCTGACAATGGGAACAAGCTCTTTGCTATCATAACATCTACCCGCTGTAGATGTTATGAGAGAACGGAGGCTTATACTTCACTGGAGGAGCCGAAGGTTAAAAGGAAGGAATGAGAAGATGAAGGTGAAAAGAAGCTGAACCATGGATGAACCCACCACCAGAAAGAGAGAGGGGTCGCCCCTTCCTGTGGATGAAAAAAATAAAATGCTCCATGGGCACATGGAGTTCAGACTTGTTAGTTTATCTGCTGGTGGGTGGAAGGTGGCGGGAGGTAGAATTGGGGATGATAAGCAAGGAACTTCTGAAAGTTCTGAATTTCTTTTCACGGAGATTCTGAACTATTTCATTCACAATCAAGAATGCACTGGAGGTGTTACCTGACCTGGAAAACAACTAAAAGTAAGACATGGGACCTCCCGCCTCAATAGTTTCTGAAGATACAGGGTGCGAAGTTTGTATTTCCTCGCCCTCTAGCAGAAACCCCGGCCTCGTGCCTCCTGGGTTCTAACCACACTTTAACCAAATGCATGAGCTCTTGGGCAAAACCCAGACCTTGCTCCCTGAATACTCCCCTTCCCAAAGCTGGTGGCTAGGCACCTATACATCTTGAACCCCTGAAGGAGATAGGGCCAGCTGTCTGCGCTCCGTGGTGTGCTGAGCTGTGGACTAGAAATATAGGGCAGGAAGTCCTTCTGTATCTCAAAATTGTATGCTGTCTGGATCTGTACCCCCAAATAAGGTTTCCCATCTTGCAGAGTGTCAGGACCTGAAGAAGACAGTGGAAGGTCCTTGGGCTACAAGGAAACCACGGTATCCCCAGCAGGCTCAGGAGCCACCTCTATTGAGGGGCAGGAGCCAGGGAAAGTGGTATAGACAGAGCAGCCCACTGTGCCCACCTCTCCCTCCCTTCAACCAGCATGGCTCTGCTTTGCTCTCTTTTATGTACCCAGTTCTATTTGGAAAGGAATGTTCTGCCACTGAAACAAATTTTACAAATCTAGAATAAGTCCTTATTTGCAGAAGTTGATCAGTGACTTCTTCAAGGTGACATTGTCAGCTGACAACAGGCCTAGGTGGGTCCCTCTACCCCTGCTCTCTTCAGAAACCTCCCCTAGTGACCATATGGGCCCAGGCCAACCCTAACGCCCAGAAACAACAAGCATCTGATCTCTGTCCCTCAGGTGAGATGGATGTGCTCAGAATTCAGGGGAAACTGAGAATGGGCAAGAAGTGGGTAACCATGGCCTTCTACAAAGCTGTTTCCCCAAGACACCAGTCCTGACCCTCTCCAAACAACCTCACCTCCTCAGCTCTATTCTCATTCTGTCCCACTGGAAAAGCTTTCACTGCCCAGGGCGGCCTAGCTGTGTGGGGAGGGATCCTCGACAGGGAGGAAAATGAAATCTGCCGGGGTGGCTCTGGGGACTTTAATCAGGCAAAGTTAATGAAAAGGATCCTGCCTTCTCCCAGGATGGCTAAATGTCTGCACTGCTCCCAGGGAGAGGGCTGAGCATGTGGGGGAGAAGGGCAGACAGAATTACATTTAAAAGGCAAAGGAAGGAGAAAATTCTTTCATCTCCCTGGTGGAGCCGGGCAGTGTTCCTAGGCCCTGTCTCAGACCATTCTCATTCCTGACACGTCTTTGCTGCTCTCTGGAACAGTCCACATTCAAAATATTAGGATGATGACCCTACTTTCCATTTTTGAGGAACTGCAGTTTCTCTCTTGGCACAAGTTCTTTTTTTTTTTCCCCTCTTTTCTCTGAGCCTAAGGGACAAGTTAGGCAGCAGGGAGAATAGGACGGGGGACATTGGAGCTGTGGGGTAGGTTCTGGGTGAAAGAAGACATACCTGCACCTTCCCAGACACAGGCATTCTGCCCTCTGAATGGTACCCCTACTTATGCCTCTCTCACAAAGGTCACCCCAGTGCAGCTGTGGCCAGCATCCCCTGAGACACTCATGGACTCAGGGCCACCCTCCAACAGCTTTCCTCCTACCTGCTAACTTCTACAACATCCAAAGCATCCCCCATAGGCGGGGGGGGGGGCTCATTTTTTTCCCTCTGTCCTGTTGTCCCAGAATCAGCATGTCCCCTCTGCCAGCCCCTTAACACACACCATATCTGGAAGGATGGGACCCGACATTGTATCCTGCTAATTCCTCAGGCTGACCCAGGACATGTGTCTGGGAAGAAGGTCACTGACACAAAGGATTTGGGGTGTGGGTCACACTGACCATCTGGCCAGAAGGATCTCAGCCTCACAGGCCTGCAGCTGTGCACACTCAAGCCTGGCTGCCCAGGATCCTCTAGGTGATTTGTTCTTCCCGGATCTTGCTTCTCTTCTGGGCCAGAAAAAGGAGTGATGGCACGTGGGTGGGTGGAGAGACAGAAGCATGCATAGGTAGGTAGGCAGCTAGGTAAAGCAAAGATGACCACTTTTCAAATTGCCCTGAAAGACCCCCAACCTTTCATTAAGCAGGCTTGCTATTTCCCCTCCTGTCTTTTCGATCTATTTTCCTTTTCCTTTTCTGTTTTGTAGGAAATGGATCTTTTTCTCCCTCTTGATTTTGGAAGCATCACTAGCTTCCTACTTTGGCCTAGAGAATGGAACCTGAACCTCCTTCCTCGCAGCCCCTCAACCCACAGAATAGTTCGGGCAGCCTGTGTGGAAGGCAACATCCTGACAAGCTGAATAGCAATGATGATCCTAATTTAGGCTGAGGCTGTCAGAATTAGCTATTCCTACTCTCTACCTTGGCCAAAAGGAGGCAGAGGTGCACCAAGGTGAAGTGACCTTTCAATGGAAAACCAGGAACAACAAATCCAAGCATGAATAGGGAACCCAAAGAATTTGTAGGTACTCCGAGACTTGGGGACTGGGCGGTTCTGATAGAGGAGGGAAGACTTGCAAAGTAAGTCAGAAGTTGGGGCAGAGACCAGGGAAGGAGGTTCAGGAAGATTTCCACCAAGTAACAGGTTCCAGAACCACCAACCATGAGGAGCCCCCAACTCCCCTAGGGCCACACGGAGAAAGGTGCAATTAGAAGGGGGAGGGTCCAAATGGAACCAACAGGCTACTCCTCACAGAGGTCATATTGGTACATTCTATACAAAAGTACATTAGACTCGGGCTAGAAAAGGTGTGTCCTAGCTCTGGTTCTGCCCCTGTTCACTATGGGGTCTGATAGGGGCTCATTTTACCTATGCAGGTCTTATTTCATCACCTGTAAAGTGAATTCTATGTTGCCACTTCTAGCACCCCAAAGTGTCCCTCTCACCTCAAAGATGGAAAAAAAAAAAGATCCTGATTTCCTCTTCTTTCCCACAAATTCTTACCTCAAACACACCTCGAAGAGGTGGTCCACACTGTCTGGAAGAATTCCTAATCAGGAGGATGGGGTGTGGGGTGGAGTTTGGGACAGTGGGGAGGTCCTTCACTGTATCTTCACTGGAGGTGTGCAAACAGGCATTGAGACAGATGCCACTCAGACCATCGAGTTCATCATCACCCAAGTAGGGCTGCAGTCACAGCTAAAGGTAAACAGCTTAGAATTCCAACGGCATTAGTTCCAACCTCCAAGGCAATGGAGATAAGCAGCTGGCTCCCCACCAGCCTAGGAAGCAAGTCATACACTTGAAGACTGCATCCTCACTGCACTGAGTGTTCTTTTGCTAAATCCCCTCACCCTCCTGGAATCTTAAAGGTTAAATCTGAAACCACTGACACCTCTAGTCTTAGTTCGGGCTCCCTTCCCAAAGAGCAATAAGGATGACTAATAATAACTGAATATAACTCCAAGCAAGCCTGGTCTTGATTGTTTATAATTTTTTCTTTTATTATTTTTTAAATGATGGGGTTCTAATATTTATAGGTGAGATCAGTAATAAATTCCCCTAGATATGCAGCCAAAAGAGCTTTTACATTTTTTTCTTTTTTAACGATTCTCTGTGTAGCCTTGCACAGTCTAACCCACGTTCTTACAGTGGTGTGTATATTTGGTTGCTATCCAAGTCACAGCTGTTTCAACTTCTGGGTGGGAATGTCTTTAATTCCTGTTCTTGCAGATCTGAGCTGTAACTACTGAGACCTATTGAAAGAAGAGGCCTCTGGACGCCCTAATCTAGAACTCACCAAAACAATGAGTCTTTTTTTTTTTATGTTATTTGAACCCGATGAACCCACAGAAGCTTTTTCTGCCCTTTTGCACTCCCAGTAGAATTCTCTTAAATACATTGTTCTTAAATCAAAATAAAACAAAAAACTTTGACTTCTTGGATGGCATCTTGTGCGGTGTTGTTGGGAAGCTTACCAAGGTAAATCTGGTAGATTCTGGGGGTAGGGGTGTTCATATCCCCATTTATTAAGTGTTTTGGTAAAAGGATTAAGTTGTTTTCGGAAATTCCACATCTAGCGGGTAATCAGATGCCACTGGAGCCTGGCATACTCATACTTTTTCACGATGTCATAATACGACTCTCTGAGCCCTCTACCATTTTTGGAATGTGCATTGTTAGAGGTTCCATCAGGTCCTCTCTGATCCTTCTGACACTTCAAAATGAACTCTGCCTAGGAGAACATAAAACAACGGTTGTCAGACTGTGCCCTAAGGGAGCACTGCACTCCAGCAAAGGGGCTTGGCCACAGTGAGGCAGGTGAGAGGAGCAGAGGTGGGAATTCTAGCCCCCATCCCACTTTATCCAGAATGGCACAACTTTTAATAGTATTTTATATTAGAATCTCATGTTAAGACCCATTTGATTTAAATCTTTATAAAAAAGAAATTTTGAAAACTCGTATCTTAAGTGAGAAGACCCCTTCCATAGGTGAGCAAGGCATCTGCAGTGCTAACAGAATATACCTCGAGAACGAGAATTAGCAGGCTCACCACTTTAAAGATGCTAAAATGGTAGCCTTTCACTTGGAGCAGAAGAAATGCATGCCCAGACCTTTAATACTATCTGCGAGTTACTCATTGGGAAAATGCTTTCTCTTCCTTTGTTTACATTTTCTGCAGATGGTGATGTCTGTTTGCTCTCTTCATCTGAAGTTTAGCAAGCTACATGCTTAAGAAAGCATAACTAATTCACCAGGAAAGGAAAGAGCTAAAGATATGTTGCTTCTCAGGAGCACAATCTCGATTATAGGTCCTTCCCTTCGAATAAAATTAAGAAATCACATTGCAAGCATCTGTAGGCTGTTTCCCAAAGTCCGTAAAAGGCCGATAAATGAGGTTCCCCTCGTTGAACATATGCCAAGCAAAGCTGGATGCTGAGGAGGGGGCGAATCCGCTCTCATCTCCCTCTTCTCATCATTCACTGAATTTCTGCTTAGAACTGACCAGATGATCTGTTCACTTGGCTCCAAGAAGAGGACTAAAGCTTTCTAATGCATCCCCTTGGCGAATCCCAGGAAATTGATTTACACCCCTAGGCTCACTTAGTGACAGAGAATGGAAAAGTCAGAAGGTGCTTGCTTCAGAGAGTATCTGAGCGCTGGAGTCAAAAGCTCTGCTCCTTGGCTCAGTGTAGCCAATTTGGCTGAGAATCTGAGTCCCTCGGGCCAAATCCGGAGCAATTAATCACAATTACAGGTGAATATCTAAGTGGGATAAAGTCAAGCTGGACCCAGCAATCGTTGAACCTTGTAGCTGCAGGTAGCCACAGCTTTTATAAGCCTCAGGTAAAATAGAAGAGTCTCCTCCAAAAAGCCTACCCTGAACTCCTGACAATTATAATATGAAAAATAATTGATTTTTCAGAATCTACTTTTGCCTGTTTTTGTACAGAGAGATGATTTGACACTATTAACCCACTGAATGTTCAGACTATCAAAGCAGGATAATACTTTCTTCACCTGTTTATAGTTGAACAAACTGAGGTTCATAAATTGGTTAAATTATTCCAGTGCAGAAGTAGAATTTGAACCAGTCTAGTCCTCTCTAAGGCATCTATGACCCCTGCAGGAATACTTAAATGAACTAGTGTTTTCTCCCTTCCTATTCTGCCAGAGAGCCAGTCCTGGCACCAAGGACATTGAAATCACTGCCAACTGTGCCCCCAGGTGACCTGTCATGCAGGTTGGAGTCCAGCCTCCCATCAGTCCCACACAACCTCAGTGTGGGCAGCTAAGGTAACATCCTACTCTCTCGATCTTCCATTCACATTTCTTTGAACTCAAATTGACTTTTCACATAAGAGCCTGGTCCCTGAATCCTGGCTGGCCAAGGAATATGCACCATGCATGGCTACAAACATTGTCAATTAGCATGTGTGTCTTTTCTCCCTCTGCCTTCCTTTCTCTGTCCTAGCTCCTCTCTCCCTCCTTCCCTCCCTCCCTCTCTCCTTCGCTCCCTCCCTGCCTGCCTTCCTTCCTTCCAGCCAATGAGTTAGTGCCAAGTTCCAGGCACCATCAAAGATGTTGAAAATCCCCACAAACTATGAAATGCTTCCCAGGAATCAGCTCAGATCATTAAATCAAGAGCCATACAAGGCCTTATAATGGTTATACCCATTTCACAAATGAGAAATCAGAAACACAGCAACGTTAAATTACTTATTCAATGTCACAGGGTAGTGATAGGCAGATCCAGAGACCACACTCAATTCTACTTGTAACCAAAGCCTGCCTCCATTCTTAACCACTCCATCTGTGTGGTATTGCCTGTGATGTGAATGCTGTCAGTGATAGCCTGACCCCAGTTAGGCAGGATCTCTGTCTTTCAGGGACACAAGCAAACTACAATGAGGCAGGGGTATCTACAAAAAGGATAACCAATAGTGCAAAGGGGATAAGTTGCATCATAAGGAAGAGTAATATTATGATCATTTAAGTGAGCACTTTGAATAATACAGAGAATGGGAAATCCCAAATGAGTGATCTCTGTTATTATAAGTGTGAAACATGTTATTATGTCATCTTGGAATCCAACACACAATGAGAACTAGAACAACGGGTAAGGACAGGTTTGTACCTGACAGAATGAAGGAGCTGGACAGTAGGAGGGAGTCTTTGGGGAAGACAGTCAACTCCATCAAAGAGAAGTGAAACTCTAGACCTGACTCTCATTTGCAAGAAACATCCATCGCAAAACTTACAATCTGAAAGATAGTCATTGTTTGCCAAATACCTGTGTTTACAGTTTTCATCAGAAAGATTACTATTTTTAAAGAAATAGCCTGGTTATTTGCTTATTTTATTAACTAAGTGGAACTTGCCTGCTTATATTCTTTACTCTTGGTTGAAATGATAATCTCATTGAACTGCTCTTTGGAAACTATTTGTAGAACCAAGGAGCAAATCTTTTTCAGAAAGGCCCTGCTCTTTCCAGTCAGTCACCAGCGGTTGTCAGGTCTGATGAATTACCTAATCCAGTCACTTCCCAGGACTGGAATAGCTTGAGGATGGAGACATCTGTTTCCAAAATGGTACTTCACCATTGAAGATATTCTACAGGGTTTGCCACAGCTTCTAATGATGTTCCCGAGAATATTAAGCAAACACACAGCCTTAGAAAACAAGACTAGATTCTCTAGGATGACCACTCAGAAGGAGGCCTGTCTTCTTGGAATATATACATCCTACTACTTTGTTAGAAATCTGTCCTTTTCTATGTCAGACTGGACTTCTGGAAACACCTGGCTCACTGACAACTCTCCTTGGCTAGGGTGTGTATGTGTTCGTACCACATGCTGTCCTGCCTTGACTACAGTTTGCTAAAAATGGTCTCCTGTCATTTCACTCTCTACAAGAAGATCATCTTTCAGAGAGATCTGGAAGTGGAGGTTTCCTTCTTATCAAAACTGCTCAGTCAGATGGTGATTCTATCTCCCTGGACTGCATCCCAAATAAGAGCTCTTTTAATTGTTCTCCCTGAAATCACATGTGTTCCTGACTCAGAGTTCACCCATTTTTGGACAAACCTGCCCAGAATTTCTGGCTGGCTCCGTTGGGGAATGTCTCTCTATACATTGCCCACTGAGACTGAGCGAAATGAATGCTACACACAGATGCTACATCAGCAGGACTGAAAGTAGCTGCTAACTCAGACTGAGACCCTATTAGTGATCACATGCCCAAACCCTTTATTTATAGCATAAATGAAGGGCCCGCCGCAGGGACTGGCGATGCTCCCTTTTGCAGCCACATTTGGCAATTCACTGGTAGTGGGACCTTGGAGGAGTCACAGCCCTGCCTGGCCCTTAGTATTTCCCACCTCTGACATGAGGAACTCTGCAAGATCACCGTGATCAGGGCCTGTGAATCTGGGAAAGGCAAAAGGGGGCCTGCACTCAGCCCAGCCATTTTCAGCCTTCGCACAAAGTGCCTACTGCTGAAGGTACTTGGGAGGGGGCTGAGATATCACAGCAAAAACAATGGTGTAGTCAGACAGGAAAGAGGGAAGGGCGTTGGGCACAACTGAGAAGTTGGTAAATCCTAAGTTTCTTTAGGAGGATCCATGTCCTTCACCCCTCATCCCTCATTGGCCTTTCAGAGAATAAGAGAGCAGGGCTCGCTGTCCACCACCTTTCCTAGTTTTAGGGAAGTATCTAGTGTCAATTAATTAAACTATAATCACTGTGCAACTGTTTTCAAGACAGCTGTTTGCTGAACCTCAATTCTAACTAGGCAAAAAAAAAAAAAAAATACCTATGTCTTTTGATATAAAGAGATTCCAGGTCTGTAAGGTATTGTAGTGAAGAATAAAGGTGAGAGAGGTTCATGATTTGGAGGGCAGAGGACCCATTTCTCCAAGGGGAACTATCTAAAACCTGCCTGATTCTGGGAGAGGAGAGAGACTGAGAAGGAAGGTCATCACCCTAGCTCTAGGGGGCCGCTTTCCTGCACCATCAGTAAATGAAAGATGTGTCAAAAGCAGCGGCCCTGGCTCTCCATTCACCTAAGGCTTCCCTCGACCTCCTGGGATATTAACAAGCATCCTACTTCTGAGACACATAAGCTCATTTCCACATAAAATTCAAGAAAATTTGACAATAAGCTGGTCTTTTAATAATTTACCCTCTCTAATCAAATGGATACAAAAGGGCAGTGTTCTTCATGGTCAACTCACAAGAAATGTTGCCCTATTTTGAGGTCCATAAAGATGTTTTTATTATAACAAGAATGTGAGGTATGAGACTGCTTAAAAAAAAAAAAAAAAAACTTTTACTGCCTAGACCCAAAATGTTTCAAAAGACAATCTCACATATTCATCCCAATAACAATGGAAACCAGGAAGAGGCGGGAACTGTGCTGCATGCTTGACATATGGAGGAAATGAGGCAAAAAATCAGTCAGGGATGAGCCTGGGGACATGCTCTTGGCTTTACAAGTCTTAGCGTGGAAAGGATCTTGGGAGTTATTATCCCAAGCAGCCTCCCTCCAAAGTAGGAATCCCCTTCTCCAAGTCCTCTGACAGATGCACACACCGCTTGAACTTGTCTTAGGAAGTGGTACTTGCTAATTTAGTGCCAAAAACAACCGGCTTTCATACGTTCCACTTTTATTCGGTTGATCTACGTCTTACTGAAATCGTCCCCTAGTTCTGAGGAACAGGAATCAACAGCTTTTTTTATTCTGTCAGGAGTTTCCTGTTAAGAAGGGAATGTGAACCCCATTTTACAGATGAGGAAACAGATAAAGCAACCCACTAGAAACTCCACTTCTGAAGTGACAGCCAGATACCAAAGCCAGGGGATTTCACACTCACGCTCCCCTCCCTCCCTGTGTGCCCACGCGCACACACTACAACTGGCTCAGTCCTGCCTCTGGCCAGCCTGATGTTCTGGCAACATGCATTGTATCACACAGTCCCAGGTGGAATATCCCAAGTGCTTTCAACTCCTCCTCCCTGGATATGGTTCCCAGAGTCATCACTTCCAGCTTAAAACATGTCTCAGACGTGAGTACGCTGGGCCAGTGGGAAGAGTAACTGCTACTAACCAGTCTTGTGCTGGCAAATCTAACCAATGATTCCCTGGGGTGGGGGAGAAAGAGGGAGTGGAGAAAGCCCCAAGGAAGGCTTTTGCCAACTTCCATAAAGTGCATGTTCCTAGTTTTAAGCTACCAGACAGAAGACTGACTGCAGAGTCGGGAGTAGAGGTGCCCAGCTGACTGGGAGTCTCTGGTTGCATCTCTGCTGTGCTCATGAGCCCATCTGCTTAAACCCACTGACAACTGACCTGGAACCCAGGCCTAGAGATTTGTAGCGAATCAGACATCTCAACAAGCTGAAAATTGAACATGTCCTCTGTGCAAATCTGGGTGTGAAATAAGCCAGACTTCTGAGTTACAGTAAATGTGAAGGATACAGTCACTCAATACACTTACCCAGGGATGCTGCTTTTTCTAGGAACTGGGGATCTAGTAGTAAAAAGCCAATGCCCCTGCTCTCAGTCACACAGACAATGAAGTAAAAAACAACAATAATGATATAACCTGCCAATCATAGCAAAATATTAAAAAAAGCAGAAGAAAGGGACAATGATTGGGATGCATTTTTAAATAAGAAGGTGGGAAAAGACTTCTCTAGCAAGGAAATATTTGGGTAGAGACCTGCTGTATTTGCAGACCAGAACGGCCCCTACAATCAAATGTGATGAGAATGGTAGACTGAGGTTAGGACTCCAGAACTGGAATAGAAATCCTGCCATTACCTAGTGCTATGACCTTGTTCTAGTCACTATCACCCTAGAGCTCCATCATGCAGTGGGAACAGATGAGGCAAAACATGCCTGATATTAACCCAAGCTTGATGGTCCACCAGTTTCAAGTGAAGCTACTCACTCTTCCTGGCGGTATAACCTCAAGTCTCCATTTTCTACCCACAAAAGATGGGCAACGGGAGATGTGTGGATGATGAAATGCATGCTTGTAAGGAATCTAAGAAGTTAGTGCTTCATAAATATGAGGTGCTTCCCTCTTCTTTAGACCTTGCAGGTGTGTAGTGAGAGTGGGATCACTTCAATGGGATGGGGGTGTGCTATACCGGACCAACAAATGGGATGCTTGGTATTAAATGTTGCACGCCCTCCTCTTCCATGTCTTTCTGAAATCCATTGACATGAGAGAGTTAAAGGGCAATGAGGAGTGGCTATGACCATGCCTCTACTGTGGCTGGTTTAACTGGCTACCTCAGTATCAGGTTGGTAACTTGCCTTGCTGGGCTTGGGGCAAAGGTAGGTAGGAGGTGGCTGCACATGTTGGCTCTTCTGAGGAAGCTTTTATTAGAAATGGGTTTCCCCATGGCTCTTTCAGACTCTTTTGGCCAAACATTAAATGCCCCACAGTCAAATTTATTAGTGCATCCAATAGCCCCGAGAACTCTTGGCTTTGTTTCCAAATCCCTCTTATCTTCCTTTCCCTCCCTGGAGCCTTGCAGTTTAGCCAAGGCAGCTGCTCATATCCCACCAACCCCAGAGTGGTTCAATCTGTATACAAAAATAGACACACAGGCGGTCACTGCTTTCATGAGGCCAGCACCAGAAAGCAGCTATATTGCGGGGCATTCTTCAGTGAGGGAAGGGACGCTGGTAGATGATTACAGGGAGAAATGACAGCACTTGGACTGGTCCTCAATGATCCAAAACAGGAACACAAAGGCACTCGGGACGAGCCTTTATACCTGCCTGAATTCCAGCTTCCTTATTTCTGAAAGTAGATCCAAAAATTCCTGGCTAGTTCACAGGATTTGGGAGAAAATAAAACGGTATGGTGGGTCATGAATGTCTTTCAGACCTGTCATAAAAATGAACACTATCACTAACTGAGGAATATAGTGTTTTTTCTACCTCTGATAGAACAAATGATCATATGGGGCATGGTTAGGCGAGTGGGGAGTCCCTGGAACTGCTCCTGAGTTGAACTTAGGTTTCATCTCAGGGGGGCAGTGGCTGTTTAACCCTTAGCTCCACACCTGGCCTCCTGCATTTCCTGCAGCTATGGTGAAAAGCAAGGCAGAACAGCTGGCAAAGGGTGAGCATGCATGGGGCCCTGAGGGAGCTCTCCAATGAGGCTGAAAGGGCACCTCTGAGCTAACTGTGTGCAGGGCCTATTGGAGTTGCCTCACTTTCCCCTGCATCTACGAGCAGTGTCCCTTGCTCAGAGGTGTTCCTGAAGGAGGTGGGTGGGGGCTGGGCAGAGATGATGGCTGCAGCCTCCAAGCCTGTGCCTGTGCATCTCATTATCGAGCGGGTCTGAATCAAAGTAGCCCTGTGCAGCTGCTGTCCCGTTTAATCCATTCGTAATCAAAAGTGATTAGCATGGATGCCTTGGTGCTGAGGTTATTGTGTGTAGGATCAAAGCCATGGCTCCTGCCCGCTTCCCAGAGTCGCTTGCACCTGGGAGGGCGGGAAGGCCATGAGCCTGGGGCATGGGCATAGCCCCTGGCAGTGTGAAGAGTGTGGCTTCCTACGCAGAACCCAGAGCAGTCAGTGCAGGCGCCCCTGCATGATCTCGGCAACCTTAGAGAAGTCTCTGCAGGAGGCTCCTGTGGAAATCCCACAGCCCAGGTGTCTCCAGCCTATTGACTTGAGTGTGCAGGGGAAGCCAGAGGTGGACTGAGGGCAAGCAGGGCTCACTTGACGTTAGATTCATGAAGAGTTCTGAAACTCCCTCATTTTATACACGAGGGCATCTGGGCCCATAAAAAGGAAGCATGTTCTATGCCTGGCTAGCACATGTGTGCAGAAGAAAGGAAGAGAATAAAAAAGAAGAAAGAGGCCAGAAGAGAAAATGAGATAAAGGGAATTGCACTCAAGTGATACCTCGCTGGTAAGGAGACAAAGCAAGTTGATGCAGAGAGAAGAAAAACTACAAAAGCAAGAAAACAGCAAAGCTAGAAGAGGTAAGGAGACAAGATGCTCTGGGCCTTCAATAGCTTATCCATTCCTTCCCTCACACCAGCTCCAGTAACATCTGAGCCACATCTCTCTATAAACAGCAAAATCCCCACCCAGACCTTTCTCTGTTTCCAAGTTCGCCTGAGTAAGTCTGACACTCTACTTCTCTCTGGCACTTCAGGTGATGGGCATCACTGAGAGCCAAATGAAGACTCTTTTGGGCAGCCTTCCTTGTCCTCCCTTCTCTGGACTGTCCTATACGTGCCACACAGCTGCCACTGAGAACCCACTGTCATTCCGACTGCTCCTGGGTCAGCAGTTCCTCCGGCTGTCGGGAGATGACAATGAATGCACGGGCCCTGCTCCACCAATTAGACCGAAGTCCAAAGGCAGCTGCTGTGTGGCTCAGGACAGTGCCGCTCTGGGGCTGGACAGATCCTGGGTCTTTGACAGAAGGCTGGGAGCTCCTTGAGGGCAGGACTGCACCTTGATGACTTCATCAGCTCTAGGATCAGCCACAGTCCATGGATCTAGTGGACCTGTGACAAGTGTCTACAGTGAGAGATAGGATTCTACATGAATGCACCCCAGGATTTCACTCTGACATGGTCACTGAGGCTGCTGAGAGGGGCTCCCTTTATGCCAGAAGTTCTGAACCATTCTGGAGGGGGAAGTATGAGGATGAGGGAGTGGGTGGGGCACATGGAGAAACATGCCAGGAAGGTTCTAATTACAGAAAGGATTTTCTACAGCAAAGAAGCTGGGAACTCCTACCTCCCATCCTGGAGATGAGAAACCACCTAGTTAATGGTGGTTTGGTAGTTAATGGTAGTTAATGGGCCTAGTTAATGGTTTATGCACATGACTGGGGTGCATGGCCACACGGGGGTGGGCAGTGTGAATTATGGCAGACCCCATAGCCTCTCAAGGAGAGGAGTCTTTTGCATGAGTTCTTTCGATCCCAATGGGTGCCTGGGATGCAAATCCATGGGATGTCATGAGTGAATGCTCATGACAGTTTTTACTGCATATTTGGTGGATAACAACACCCCAGATCCAATTTCAGTACAGCATTGTGGGGTCCTTCACACCAAGAAAGATCAAGTTTGAGAGTAAGTGGGATGATTTGGGGGACAACTGAGAAACACCTACAACTAAGAGAAATAATTTTCTCTTGCTCGGTTGTACACTTCGGTGGAAGTTAAGTAAATACTTTAAATGTATAAATAATACTTACCAGTATGGAATGGGTGACGATGGTAATAACTAGCCTTCATTCAATTAGCTCTCACTTGTGCTGGGTGCTTCATGCAAATCTTCCTATCTCACAACAGTTTTGCTGAGTAGGTAGCAGAAATGCCATTTTGAAGATGAAGAATCTGAGGTCTGGGGACATTATGTCTTTTGCCCACAACCAGAGGGTGAGACAGTGACTCCGTGGAAAGCTGACCTCCTCTGTCCTAGTCTTCACACCTCTGGCTCAGTCCCACTTGGGAGAGGCCAAGACTGACTCATGGCAGCCCTGAAACAGGCACACGCCAGGCCACCTCCCCTCTGAGCTCACTCCCACGTCAGCGCCCTGCTAAGTAGGTGCACCACCCCACACTCAGGCTACTGGACGAAACATTAGAGCAGATTCCCATTGAGTCCTCTCATTTTACAGATTAGTGAATTGGAGCTCTGAAAGGTTAATCGCCTGTTCAACACCACAAAGTTAGTATGTGATAGGCCTGGGCTTCTAACCCTCGTAGCATTTTTATTGAACCATGCTACCTGAGAATAGACTGCTAGCTGGGACACGGGGCCTGGGGGTGCTTCTCTTTTTGGCACTAGATTTGCAAGACAAAGCTCTATTTAAAATGCTCAGAGGTGTTTTACTAATATATTGCCAACAGGGGCACTCAGGCCCCATGGCAACCTTCCCCTCCCAACAGTGGATCAGGACAGCTCTGACATAGGTCTCCCTTCAGGACACAGCGCTAGCTTCCCCTGACCTTTACAAAGCCTAGAGATGAATGCAGGAGTAAGGGGAGAGCAGGTAGAGATTTTCTTCCCTTATTTTTGAGAAATCACAATTTCAGCTTAATTTGTAATAGATAGTGAGCGTAAAGAAAGTGACAACGGGGCCATCAGCTATTCTGTTAGTAACACTTGAGGCCACAGCACTTCAATGTGACTAGAGCCAGCTGGCCAATGCACAGAACGACCTTTGACCCCATCCTGGGAGAAATGTAATTCTCTTCATGCCTCTTTCTGTCCACTGGGAATTAGAAACCAGAGCTGCCAGAAGAATCAGAAGGCTTCCTAATGACAACACTCCAACAAGCGGAGATGACGCACTGTCAGAAATGTAATCTGTGACTCTTCTTATCTGTTTCATTGTCTTTGCATTTTTAAAACCACCTCTTCAGGAAGAAATGAGACAGTCAGAGGCCCTCCCTGGACTTGCACCTAGAGATGCATTTATCTTCTTCATTGCAAACACCAAGGAAATACTAGAGTGTGGAGAGTTCAAAAGTCTCCTAATTGCGCAACTTCTAGGGCACAGTGTGTACATACGTGTCTCTTCTGGACACAAACCCAAACATGCATTAACTGTTGCACATTGTCTATGAGCAAAGGCAGCTTCTTTGCATGTTACTTGCCAGCCTTTGTTGATACTTCCATCAAGAGGCCACAGCACCAGTGAGTTGATGAGCCACAGAGTAATAATGATGTCCACTGTGTGCACACACTACATACACACACAAACACACACACTACACACACACATATATGCCAGAGAATTTCAATTTGATCTCCCCCCTAGCGAGGACCAACCACAGAGAGTGTTTTTAGAATTGATGATGTCGAACCATGTTTGAGGATTAAGGCTTTGCACTTGCGGTTTTCTGCCTGGAGTTCTCTGTTCTGGAGTGGCCGCCTGCTCCTCCCTCACTTCATAAAGGTGATATCATCAGAGAGGTTTCCCTACCTAGTTTCTCCATATCATCACCTCTTTGTCGCTGTCATCACTCCATCCTCTGGACCTTTTAATCTCTCACTGTATACTTCCTGCTATCTGACATTTTATTGTATGTTTGCTAGCTCACTGATTGCTTCCCTTTTTACCACTCCCTGTTTTATTTGCTTCAGTGTAAACTCCTCAGCACAGGGACTTGTCTTGGGTTATTCACTGCTCTCACCCAGCAGTGTCTGGCACACGGTAGGGGTTCATAGGATTTGCTGAACTAAGCAATGCATGACTATCTCCCTGTCCCACCAGTAGGAGGGTCCTCCCTTGTGTCTCCATCACTGGGGATGGCTGTGAAAGGATCCATTCCCACATTCTCAACAACTGCAGGTCAAGTTTGGAGATGGAACTGATGGCTCTGTGTATGGTCTACGTTTTCTTTCTCCACTGGTACCCAATGAACATGGACCCTGGACTCCCTAGCTCAGTGCTCTCATCCCAGAAGACACAGAGTAGAGTCAGGAGATGCCAATGTGGCAGGTGACCAAGCAGGCACTGTGGCACAACTGTGTGTGGTATTAGGCAAATAGGCACAGCCCAAGTGGCCTCTGGAAAACAGGAAGTCTCAGAAGTGGGGAAGTGGGACGTGGACAATGGAAAGTACCCTACAGACACCTCTGTCTTTCTAATCACTGTGGGGTTATTCCTTTTTTTAGCCTCCATCTGCACACAGCTCCCAACTCTGCCATCTGTTACAAACTAGGTCTCAGCAACTCTTTGTAAGTCAGTCTGACTTTGGTTCTGATGCATTCATGAGAATCCAGCAAGGCCATTTACGTTTCTTTGAGTAACTAGAACTACCCCTGCCATTAGAGAGTCCTCTGGAAAAGGAAAGAACATTTCATGGACTCCCACCCACAGCTCCATGTGGAAAAGTTCCATACACATTGGGGAGGTGGTAATAGTCATTGAGACTTATTTGATTTATTGATTGGGGAAAGTAGAGACTAGAGTAGATTTGACTGAGCTTTCCATATAGTATTGATTACACAGCTAATTGGAGAAGTTAGGACTAATCAATATCTTTGGGGGTAAACATTCTAATCACAAAAGCCTGTGAGCACTCCCTCTAGAAAATGAACTTGTCATTAACAAGCATTTCTTGAGCACTTACTATGTGCTGGAATAAAGGGGTGCTGAGGATAGAGTTCTCCACATTTCTTGTCCTGGTGGTAAATTCTGGCCATACCTAATCACTTCAGCCTTTCTTATTTTTAACCTACGTAGTCCAGACAGCTCAATCCCCAGGTTTCAGAATGGAACTGAACAAAATATTATATGATCCTGCTTATAGGAAATATCCAGTATAAGCAAATCATAAAGATAAAACATAAATTAGTAGTGGCCTATGGCTAGGGTGTGGGGGGAGAGGAGAAATGGAGGAGACTGACCATGGGTATAGATTTCTTTTTGGGGTGATGAAAATATTCTGGAATTAGATATGTTAATAATTTCACAATTTTGTAAAATATTAAACACATTGAAATGGATACTTTTTTTTAAAAAAGGTAGATCTTGGGCCTCCCTGGTGGAGCAGTGGTTGAGTGCTGGGTTGCAAAGCTGCCTGCGGCCTCTGCGGCACTGGTTCGATCCCCGGCTGCTCCCCAGCCACCGGAGGAGGATCCCACATGGCGCGCAGACCTCTCCTGCCACCCGCTGCTCCCCTCAGCAGTGTACTTCGTCATTCTGCCTGCTCTGCTCCCCGCTCTGGCTCTGGTGAATTCTCTCACCCTCCCGCACTTCTGACTGTACCCAGTGCATGTATAAACAAAACAAACAAACAAATAAAATAAATAAATAAAAAACATGCCTCTATAAAATAAAAAAAAAATTTAAAAATTTTAAAAAAATGTAGATCTTACAGTATGTAAATTATATTTCAATTTTTAAAAGAAGCTATGAAAGTATTAATTTTTTTTAAGGATTTATTTATTTATTTATTTATACAAGCACTGGGTACAGTCAGAAGCGCGGGAGGGTGAGAGAATTCACCAGAGCCAGAGCGGGGAGCAGAGCAGGCAGAAGGACTGAAGTACACTGCTGAGGGGAGCAGCGGGCGGCAGGAGAGGTCTGCGCGCCATGTGGGACCCTCGCTGGTGGCCGGGGATTGAACCAGAGCTGCAGAGGCTACAGGCAGCTTTGCAGCCCAGTGCTCAACCACTGCGCCACCAGGGGAGGCCCAGTATTAATTTTTTTTTTAAATGAAGGGTTGGGCATGTGAATTTTTTTAAATATCCCACAGGTACGAGCCACTGGGCTCACTTCCCAAACCATCTCTAAAGAGACTGCA